GTGTTGTCCCAACAGATAGACTTTCTCCATGTAATTACATTTAAAGGTGGGGTAGGTAAGTTTGAGAAACCGGCTCGAGATACACTTTTTGTTATATTCCATGGAATGCTCTTAACATCCCGATAGCAATGAATATCTTAAGTGCTTTGACAAAAAATCCATAAACAAATCTCATCTGTGGAAGCCGTAGTACTGTAAAAAGCACGACCAATCATCTGAGCCGGCCCGGCTAAAGTAACTGGATGGCCTACCTGCCTGTCAGCCTTCCATCTGTGCACAAACTTATCTCGTGCCCTCATTGGTCATGTGCGCGTTCGTGTGTGTTGGAGGAGGGGCTCTGTAAGGAAGTGGCAGATTTTCTCCGGTTGTGTATTTTCAAATTCTAGCACACTCGAGCTGGTTTCTCAAACTTACCTACCCTACCTTTAATCATGAGATTTTTTTTAAAGAGAAAGCTTTGAAATGTGTTGCGAACGATAATATATGTAATTCCTGTGGTCAGATTAGATAGTCGTTTTGTAAAGGAACATCGGGGACAATTGTTGTAAGAGCGAGGGGAAAAGCTCTCAAAGTTGTAAAAGGATAATTTATGTATTCTCTGAATCCTGTCACTTATGTATGCCTTTTTTTTTTATATATAATAATCTAAATGTTTGCTTGTAAAATAAGTACTTTAAAAAAAAGCAGCCATGTGCTCATTTGGCCAAACCATGTTTGCATACATGCTGGTCAAATCTTCAAAGTACCTGCCTGCCATGTGTTGTACTGTGGCGTTATTCATTATTAATAGACGATTGCTGTGCTTTATTTATCATATTGTATATAATCCTTTTGAAAGAATATTGTGTTTTATTCCATGTCCAGGTTGCCTTTTAAACAACCGTCCAGGAACAAAAGCTCAATATGTGGCAATTAATCTAAATCTGGGTCATTTACAGTTCTTTCCCTGTTGATCAATAGCGCTGTCCATGTCTAATAAACTAATAAGTTAAAAATGATAAATAAATACAATCTAACTGTAATTAGAGAGACATATCGGGGGGATTTTCTTGTATATTCTGCATACACTTCCTTCTGTGAACAACCCAGAGAGCAGCGGTGTGTTTTCTGTGTCCGCCACAGGCCCGAGGCTGCACCGCGGCAACATCAGGAACCAATCGTTCCCTCCGCATTTTGTCCCGCTCCACCATGATGTCATGGCCACGAGGAAGCAAGGTGATGAGCTGAGAGTGATGGATATCTGTATAGGAACATTTCCTTTCCCCCGCCAGCAGCCTCTGTTCACATTAAAAGCCTTGCACTTCATACATCAATACTGTCCCTCTGGCCGAAGCCTCGCACACGGCAGACCCACATGTGGAGGTTTCTCCCTATTGTTCACAGCCAATCAGATTCAGAGAAAGAGCACAATAAGCTGTGTCACTTTCTAGATGAAGCCCAGAATATGAGCCGAGGGCTGGGTGGGATTTTGCTGAAGTGAGGAGAAAGTGAAGTTTAACACTGCATTAAATCTTTTTCCATAAACTCCGGCAGAAAGGGCTTACAGGCCGACCATAAATCTGTTGGTGAGTCTGTCTTTGAAATAATGGAGGGTAATCGCTTCTCTTCTTGGGGAGAAATAAAATGAGGAAAGGATGGTGAGAGGATAAACATAGGGGGGGGGGGGGGGGGGGGTCGTTTTCTGTGACTTCTTCACGGTGTGTGGGGGTGTGTGTGTGTGTGTGTGTGTGTGTGTGTGTGTGTGTGTGTATGTGTGTGTGTGCGTGCGTGCGTGCGAGACAGCGTGGAGAGAGAGAGAGAGGAGGACGGTGTGGGCTGTTGCCTCCTGCTGTGTGAGGTCAGGGGAACAGTGGGTAGCATATGAGCCATTCAAGTGAAAGACAAGGAGAGCTTCTAGTTTCTTATGAGTGACGGACACAAGGTGTGGGTGATTTTTAACCTGTATGTATGGGGGGGGGGGGTGTGTGTGTGTGTGTGTGTGTGTGTGTGCGTGTGTGTGTGTGTGTGCGTAGGCGTGTGCGTGTGCGTGTGTGTGTGCAGAAGAAAAAGGGGCTGCACCATAATGGCCAAATGATAATAATGATTATTTGATAAGATATATATTTATTTATTAAGTTTAGGGTTTAACTTTTAAATAAACAGAGCACTGCTTTCACTTCCATGTTGTGCTACATTCCCACTAATGTCCAAATCTAGATAAGTTCAATCAAAAATAAGACTCCTGAAAGCAAAATATAAATAAAATTGTTCTAAAAACGTTGTATCCAACAATACATATTATTGTAATTGTTAATTCTCTATTCCACTGAAGTATTTCTATTTGAATGTGTTTAATGTAAAGAAATAATTTCCCAAATTGGGAAATCAATAAAGTATATATCTATTGATCCATCTATAAATCAACAAAGCATAGCTTACCATTTGAGGTGCGCTACATTTGTGCTAATTAGCTTCACGAACCTTCAAATGAAAAAGAATGCTGTGTGTCAATTCGGTTACTTCCCTTACTACTCTGCCATATCGTACACTGCGAACACATTTCTCAAATCGCACATGGCTGCTCTCACAGGAATTGACGATTGCCGATGTTAGCTACCTAGCTTGTCATTTGCGTATCCAAATGATTAAAGATTGCTCAAATAACCAATAACATTAAGTGTATCTAAATGTATTTTTTACATGTCTACTCTATGCTGTTTTTTGTTTGTTTTTATGTCTTTTACTGGTATCTGTATTCTGTGTGATATCAATTTTCTGTGAAATGTCTGTGTGAAGCACTTTGGACTGCACGTGTTATATGAAAGGTGCTATACAAATAAAGATTATTATTATTATTATTAAAAGGTGGCTTCTTTTTGACAACAGTATGGTATTAAGTGAAAAAAGACCTACATGTTTAACTTGTGATTAGTGTTTAAAATATGACTTGTATCCTGTTATAAGTGAACAACCGGGTATGGGTTGTGCATTTTGATATACTTGCATTGGGACGCACATATATATCAAAACAGCAATTGTAAGAACAGAAATATTTGAATCTGAAAAGCGAAAAATATATACCGTATAAACTTAACTCATTGTGCCTGACTCAATAAAAACATATATAATATTAGGATTCAAATTGATACACAGCATAAGAAATAAAATAACATTAATCTTTACTAATATAGCGAGTATTTCTTTGTATATTAGATCTTTGTGCAGCCCTAGAAAGCAGATTACACACACACTCACAAAAACACACACACTGACACACACACACTGACACACACAGTGGGTTTTCATTCTCTTCCATCTGCCTCTCCAGAGTCTCGGTCAGAGTAACAGATGAGCGCCGCTGCCTTTAAAGGAATCAGCCTGAGACGATTTAAAATCACCTGGGCCCTTCAGCTTTGAAGTCAGACAGCTGCCTGTGCTGTATTACAATGATATTATATCATTCATAATGATATAATTGATCATTATGTTTCCTGGCACTCAACGCTGAACCAGCATTTGTTCATAAATCAGATGATGAAAGGTGGGTGTAACAGTGAAATCAAAGGAGGAAAGAAAAAGCTTGCACTGTGAGGCTGTGTAATTATTTCACCAACACGATGTCACCTTTACGGCTTTTCTAGTTCACTCAAATCACTCTAATTTGTTTACCAGGAATACCAAATTGAATAGGAGAAGCGGCACGCCTCACTCATTCAAGCTGTGTTTTGATGTCTGTTGTCTGTAAACTGTACAGCCCATAACATGTATTCAAACCATCCACAGTCTGATGCAAGTCTGAAAATCCACACTGTTTCCCAAAGAGTTAATAATTAACCATGAAAATAATCACAGGGTCTCCTTAATGGCTGGAAAATAAAACTTTGACAGCATTTGCAAAACAGAAAGCATCGTTTTTAGCTGGGATCAGATTGGATGTACAGCTGCAGGCTGATATATGGCTGTGAACCCACGGCCCTTCTAAACGCTCTAATTACAGTGTTGGGACTCGCTGCCAGCTGAGAAGAAACGCTTGGAAAAATGGCCCGGGACGAGTTGTTGGGCTGTAAATCATGCGCCACGTCTCTCGTGCATTTTTGTTGACTTTTTCTATTATTGTTATGGGCTGCTGGCCAATCAGAGTAAAGCAGGTAGTAAAGAAAAAAGTACAGACTCTTCCCTCGTTGTTAAAAAGAGTAAAGAATATACTTTTTGTTATAATGGCTGCCAACGTCAAACTTGATGCACTATTTTGGATTTAAGTTAAAGGGGACCTATCATGCAAAATGCACTTTTGTACGTCTTTTATACATGAATATGTGTCTCCGGTGTGTCAGGGATCTCACCAAGTGTCAGAAAACACAACCCTATCTCTTTTCCTCCATACCCAAATCTCTAAAAACGGGGCTGCAACGGAGCTGATACAGATTTGAATTTTTCTGACGTCAGAAAAGGGGTGCTCCGCCTATATGGGCAACTCTCCACCTATCAGGGGAATGGGGGGTTGGGCCACGGCCATTGCCGCTCGAAAGCGCTGGAGACGCTGTAGTACATATGCCAGGCCTGTAAGTGGCGCTGTAGTCTGCCACAAAAGCAGAATCAGCCCTTGCAAAAACAGGGCTGGAAAAGAGCAAATAGAGCGAAATGAGGCATGGCTAAAATGCAGGATCTGTTTGGTATTTTGAAAAAAAAAACTTCACAGACATGTTTTATATTGGTATGGCCCTACAATATATTATTCAAATATAGCATGATAGCTCCACTTTAAAGGTCCCCTATTATACTGTGTTGCTAATGGTTACACAAGCCAAAGAATCGTTATGACATCATAAAGTGGCCAAAATCTGATCAGCTCATTTTCAGACAGGTTTTTATATAAATGGATCAGGACAAAAAGAGAGAGAATCTTTTTTCATGGTTATGTAGAAGAGACATGAAAAAGTGGATTCTGCATAATAGGTGACCTTTAAAGAAAACAGCAACCATTTCCGTGAAAAGGACACTTATGAGGACTGTCTGCTTACCTGCCACAGTTTGATACACATGACCATCCCCAACTTAGCGTCCGGCACCAGGGTGCAGACCGGGGTCTTACTGGGCAGCTCGACAATCTTGATCTGCAGAGACAAATGGCAAAAGTACAAGTTAGAAATGCACCCAGCATTGCTTACCTGTCCTCTTCCATATTCCACATCAATGCGAGAACAGTGGAGCTTTGAGCTACCATCTAATATCAGCATGCAAACATGATCACATCGACAATGCTAACAAGTTGATGATAAGCAGGTAACACTTTCACAATGTTTGCCATCTGAGTTTACATTAGAGAATTAACGCCAACAATGTAAGATTAGATTCAACTTTTTGTATTCACATTGCACAGAGTACAAGTACTGGGTAAACAAAATGCAGTTAGCATAATACCAGAAGTGCAGAGAAGCTGTGAAATACAGTGTAATGTATATGTATTAAATAAGTACTAGCGGGGGCTAGTGGAGCCTTGCAGATGGGGGTGCTGCAGCCCCCTCAGCACCCCCCCTTCCCGCGTCCATTCGCGATGTCTTGCCGACCCCACGCAGCAACCAGGAAACCACACCAGTAAGCCAGCTCACACTGTCTGCTCATCACAGCAGCGAGCCGCGCAACGTCCCACCAACACGGCACCCAGACCCCACGCAGCATTCTCATCCGTTTGTCATTACTGGTGTCATTTTCAGGTTGCTAACGCCATTGTAAAACATAATCACTGATGTTCCGCTGTAACGGTGGTGGACTCATCAGAACAGAGTGGGCGAGCTGACCAATCAGAGCACAGTGGGCTCACAGGGAGGGGGGGACGGGAGCTCCAACAAGCCGTTTAGGACAGAGAGTGAATACACACACTATACAGAGATGCTGTATGAGAAACCAATGAGAGTTTGGAAAATTGCACAATATATATCTATTCTAGTATACCTCAACAATGGAATTATGATCAGTGGAAATGACCATGTCATGGGACCTTTAAGAAATATGAGTACACTTTATTAGGATATTACCAGTTTGAACAGTGTAATAAATAAAATCCTTGAGTTGTGCACCCACCCCCATCATAATCAGGTGTTTACTACTCTACTACTATCAAATACAATAAAACATTTGATCATACCATGTTAAGCCATCTCTTTTAAAGTCTGATTTAAATGCACGTGTGAAAAAAATGAAGCTTTTTGTGGCTTCTGATTAATTGCTTTAAGTGACGTCACCAGGGCTAAAGGCAACAACTTTGAAAACGATAAAAAGATATGGTGGTGTGGAGTTCAAAACAAGTGAGCTAACCAGACCTCCTTAGCCAATCAACATGTTAAACTGCACAGCATCAACTTGACACTTGTATCATGCTCATATTCTCTAGTCATGGTTTCATTTTTAGGCTACAGGCAACTGTGATCAGTCCTTTCCCAAGCACTTGGAAATGATCCAGTTTGTCCTGATGCCTTTTGTTCTAATGTATCCCTTTCCTATTACTTTTAGTCCGTTTACATTTCTGAGACTTTGTTACAGTTACACACAGAAACTTTGGTTGTAAGTACATTTCCCTACGAGCTGTCCGCCAAGTCATGATTTGTTTGTCTTCCGAGTTCAAATAACAAAAGCAGCCACGTGAATCTGACATTGTGGTTCAAGACTTCCGCAGATCAGAGCGCCTGCACCCAGCGGTCCGGTCCCATCCATCAGAGCAGAGCGGAGCGCCCCCCACCCCCCACTGTCTATAATAAATCCTGCTAAAGCCCGACCTCACGACATGAATGGTGTTTTCCAGCACACATTGGCACTGATTCTGATAAAATGCACGGCCGTAATGAAGCCAGTGATAGAGTGTGTGTCTCTGAGAGTGTGTACCCACATCACTACCAAAACTCTTTCCTTCCACTTGCTGATGATCCGCATATTCATCCTCATTAGGCCTCAGATTAAACAGCCCTTTAAGGCAGCGATCTGTATTTTAGCGCTCGGCCCCATCTGTCCTGTGTGTTTACCTCTGCACGCCTGACAAAGAGAGCCTTTAAGGACGTCTCTTTGCCTCAGGTGATCGCAGTTCTTGTGTGGCATCCCACTGCCTGTAAACAAAGCACCCACACTATTAATTAATGTGTCTGCTGGCAGGGATCTCAGTGTGAGCAGTAAACAGTGAAACCACCTGAAATAGGAAACTCTTATCCGTCTTCTTGGATGCATAACTAAATATTGACCTACCTGCATGTAGCGCTAAATCAAACCTGTGTGCATGTTTTGAGCCACTTGTATTGTTTCTTGATGGAATTTGTTCATGTGGGTGTTGTATTTGCGGTTACATGATAAGCATCTGTCGTGGTCAGTTATGTCTGTGGAATGGGGTGTGGAGACCGAATGACAATATTGGCTGCGGTCTGTTTTAGTCTAACTTGTATGGGTGTGTGTGTGTGTGTGTTTCTGTCTGTCTGTGTCTGTTGGGACAATGGCATTATTGAGGTGCTGCGAGTCACAGGCGCCCTGATGCCTGGCCTGCTGGACTGGGGTTAGCGGAGGCACGTTTGGCGGGATCAGGTGACCGCTCTGTCCCTTTCAAGTGTGGCTCCTCCGCCGCAGAGCACGTAACATGAATCTGGAGGCAATAAAAGATGGCAGAATCGCTGGCTGCCCTCTCCTCATCCCGCCTCACTCCACACAAAGCCCTCCAGGCTGGTGGGTGTTGAGCATTAAGTACGAGACACACTGTGCGGTCAGAACTGTGATTACTTTCTAGTGCATGATCTCTTCCGGCCTGGGAAATTCTCTTTTTAATCCCACAGTCTAAGATTAAAACAGATACTTTGACTTTTGCATTAGCCAAAGTAGCAGTGACCTCTTGAAAGGCACTTTTTTTTAGGCCCTTGCACACCTATTTTGTGTTTTAGACAATGACATTAATAGAAAGGCATGGCGTACTACCAACAGCCAACATTTAGCTGGTGGTTGGTATTATGTTTTTACCTTTCCAGAGTGCTGTGACTCATGACATTATGGCATTATGCGAACTGCAGGCTAACATTTCACACTGACTCATTCAGTGACGGTTGTCAAAAATTACGACATTAATGTTAGGTTATTTCATTTTTATGGATCAGAACGCTTGTCAACAACTACAGGGGTTGGATAACTTTTGCGGTAATACTTAAATGTTCCATGAAATCAAACAGTACTAAAAGCCACAAATATGTTTTTGTAAAGGACTGGCAGCAGCAAGTCTGGCCTGGTTCATACAGGTTGGCATTTTGTATGCTCGTCAAACCGTTCAACCAATGAACCATCCCAACTCCCACCTGCCAATAAACTGAAGGATGTTTCCTCATGCTGAACCTAGGTGCCAGTGGAGACTTTGATCCAAAGGGTCTCTGGTTCATTTCCACTATCTTTGAAAACCCTACTTAAATATGTAAACATAATCTACCCTAAAAAGCATAGACATTTATTTATACACATTACCGACTGTATTTTTTTTATACTGACAGGGACGTTCTGAAACTCTATTAGTTGGCAGTACAGGTATGTGATAAATATTTTAAATTAAGTTAACAAAAACATCAAATCAAGGACTTTTTAAGGACTATTTACAAATATAAACCAACAAATATTAGAATAACTTTAGTAACTATTACTGCACAAAATATATAACCTCCAGCACTTCCAATGACCCATGTCTCTTCATTCCCATTTCAAAATTCTTCGCTAAGGATTTCAAGGACTGTCAAATATGGGTTTTCAAATAAGCATGAATATTCTTTGACAATACAGTGCAAGATAACGTTTTTAGAGAGTACTTGTCCATGGACAAGTGAGTTTGGCAATTTACTTGTCCGAATAAATGTTTCACTTGTCCATAGCTATACTTTGTGCATGTTGCACCTATTTTAAATATTATTAAATATCAACATAAAGCATACAAGAATCTGGGTTACTGTAACTAAGGTAAGATTTTGTTGTTTATTTGTTCATATTTGGCAAGAAACATGCTATACAAGAATCTTCCTCTTGGGGAATCTTCTTCTTCGGCATCGTATTTTACATTTCCCCACGGTTTTACGACACCGCTAACATAAGTGAGCTGTAAGATTTGACTGCATTCACACATGACACAGAAGGAAACGTAAAGCGGTCGCAAACAACAATGGCGGACACGGACAATTTGTGAATGAGTTCTGCCTTTTGTAAGCTGAATTTATCAATCATTTGTCACTAACTATGGGCAAAAAACGTCACTTGTCCATCGGACACGTCAATGGAAAGATGTACTTGTCCGATAGTGTAAATAACTCGTCCCGGACATGTGCTTTTTCGCACACCGCAAAAAAAAGAACACGTCCAATACATATTTCCAATACAAACTGTGAAAATGTACAGCTTTGGCAAATGTTTAGGTTAAAATGTGACATTCCCTGCATCAATTTTTTTTAATGGGAGTACATCCCAGCATGAACTGGCAGATTGGTTGCTATTTAAAAAATAAGCTAAACAAAGATACTATACCTCGACCCATCACATCTGTCAGGCTGCACAACAAGGGGTCAACAATGTGACACAAGTACTGGACATAAAATAAACACTGTTTTCACACATACATGTACACATATCTAATATGTACATAAGACCCAAATATGTATATATGTTCCTTTTAATTCATTTCTTATTTTAAAGCTACTTAACTGTATATAATTGTATTTTTTATCTTTGATTAATGTCTAATCTCTGCCGTCCTGTTTTTCATCCTTACCCTGTTGCTGTTTAATTACTAAATGTCCCCACGGGGTAATTCAGTAATTCCATCCATCTTATTTTATCTTATCTCATCCACACCCAAAGACAATTTAGAGTTTCATTGCTGATGTCTAACCTCTTCGGTCTGTTGTCCAGCGAAGGCCAGCAGATGTGTCCCGGTACTCATCTCCAGCAGCGAGCACTGACAGAACCCAACGCTGCCGGTCCACAGCGAGTCCAGCACCGCCCTGCGACCCTCACTCAGATCCCACAGACACACTCGCATGTCCCGTCCCTGACTGCTCCACAACAGAGAGGCCAAAAGAAAAGACACATGCTGCAGTTCAACGCATATTTCAAAAAGCATGAGCAGAAGTTGTAAGTATAGTTAAAAATAACTAAGAATTCTTAAGCTACCAATTAAAACGTCTATTCCGAAATGCTCGTAGAAACAGAAAGAGGGATGGACAAGAAAAGACACACGCTGCAGTTCAATGCATATTTCAAAAAGCGTATAACTGGCTTATATCTGTGTGACACTGATTGCTTACTGTCAAGTTATCGTTATTTCCCAAAGTTGTAAGTATAGTTAAAAATAACAATGAATTCTCAAGATTCAAGGCTTTTATTGTCATTTGTACTACAGCTACCGTGTAGTTATGACAATGAAAATCTTAGGACACAGGCTCCTCCAACAGTGCAACACAATAAAACAGATAATAGTGCAAGTAAATAAAAACGTCTATTCCAAAATGCTTGTAGAAACAGAAAGAGGGATGGACATGTTAAAAGGCCAAAGAAAAGACACATGCTGCAGTTCAACGCATATTTCAAAACGCGTATAACTGGCTGATTCTCACAATATGTGTGATACTGATTGCTTACTTTCCCAAGGTTGTAAGTATAGTTAAAAAAAAACAATGAATTCTGAAGTTACCAATAAAAACGTTTATTCCAAAATGCTCGTAGAAACAGTAAGAGGGACGGACATGTTATCAGAAGTTGTCCTCACCTGATGAGAGTGTCTGTCCCCCGCAGTGTGTTGACCCACACGACTGAGTTCCCAGAATGCCCTTCTACAACCGTCTCGGCCCTCCTGGTGTTCAGGTTCCACATGTGGATGGCACCCTTACCTGACCTGCAAAAATCCAACAGATGGCTTTTTATTAGATATATTAGAGCTGTCGCAATATTATTATATTGTATAAAATAGTGATGAAAACCGTAATATTGATATGTTAATACAATCATATAAGTGCCTCTTAAATGTTTATGTTAATCTTGTTCAACCTATCATCTATGCCCAATACAAAATAAGTCACATTTATTTCACAATTAAAAACGTGCTCAATAATCAAAGTTAAATATGAATTTGATTGATACAATTTTTCAATTTTTTTATTTTGTAAAGATATTTTGTCACAGCCGTAATATATACATAGAAATATATAATCCAAAATTGCTCAGGTCTTTTATGAGAAGACAAACAAAGATCACCAGATTTGCTCTAGTCCAAACTAAGAAACAATGAAATAACATTGTAACTTTTGGTGTGCGGTGCTCTTAAACATCCAAACTCTTTACCCATTTTAAAAACTGAAATGAACCCTGATTGGCTGGCCTAATATCTACTTATTACCAGAGGTGGGAACTAGTGGAGTACAAATACTTCGTTACTGTACTTAAGTACATTGTTCTGGTATCAGTACTTTACTCCACTACTTATTTTTTTGACGACTTTTTACTTTCTACTTCTTACATTTCTAACCCAAATACCTGTACTTTCTACTTCTTACATTTTCCAAACAGGCTGGTTCCTTTAGTTTGAATGTGTGTTTGGTGGCGTGATCATTATTATTTAGAGTCATTGCGTGCCTATTGATTTGAACACGATCCGTGTATCCATCATTTCCTGGTCTTCTCTAAAGAAGAGGGACCAATGAAAACGTTGTCATGTTGCCGTTGTTCAGCATGGAAACATTCATTAGCTAACAATGACATTATTGTTCTATTAATATAAAGGGAGGTCAGGTACTCTTTAAAACAGCTGCTAGTTATGGGTACTTTTTACTTAAGTACATTTCAAAGCCCATACTTCTTTACTTTTACTTGAGTAAAGAAGTCTAGTCAGTACTTCTACTTTTACCAGTGTATTTTTAAACACGAGTATCTGTACTTCTACTTGAGTAAAGGATGTGTGTACTTTTGCCGTCTCTGCTTATTACCCTATTCCACATGTGTCAAACTCAAGGCCCGGGGGCCAAATCAGGCCCTTGGTGGATTTAATTTCGGCCCGCAGGATAATTTCTAATTACTATTAGATCTGGCCCGCCGGTATATTGCACGCACACCTTCACTCAATCCTGAGGGTCTCCTCCGCTCAGAGCCTGACCCCAAACATTGATGAACTTGCATCTGAGATGAGATGCCAAGTATCTGGCTTGAACTAGCATCACAGAGCAGCAACCTGAGTTTACATGGATGTTTCCTTCTGCACTTTTTTTCTTGAGACAACAGAGCATGTTTGGTTTTCTCTTTGAGGGAAATAGTTTTTTTGAAGCTGTTGTTGGCCTGTGGAAAAATGTAATCATGAGAAATGACTCTGGAAAAGCTGCAGATAGAGCCATAAGAAATGAATGCAACTGATTATTTAATGTTTAATATTGTTTTTATAGGCAATCATTTAAGCTTTGTTAGTTCCAGGTTTAATATGTGCAATAAGTTCATTTCAATAAGCTTTGCAATAAACATTGAACCAGTCCGGCCCTCGACTAGTACCCATTTTTTTATTTTGGCCCACATTTGAGTTTGACCCCCCTGCCCTAGATAGTCAATACCATTTTCAAGTTTTACGGAAGATGAAGAGCCAAATATTTAGGTTGAGATGAATGACTTACCCCGAAAATAAGAGGGGAGTGTCCCCTCCATGGCAGCTAAAGTGGAGGGTGTTGAGGGGCGCGCCGGCCCCCCTCAGGGTGAAGATGGGGGACGGAGCGGGACGAGACATCCCTGGGTCATGCAATCAATGTGTGGCTGCGAGGAGGCTGCAAACATGTGTCAGGAATCCCACTGGGACAGACAACAGAAGAACAAAGAGCAGATAGATTCAAGATTCAAGGCTTTTATTGGTCATTCGTGCATAGCTACAGTGTAGTTACGTCGATGAAGATCTTAGGTCACAGGCTCCTCCAACAGTGCAACACAATAAAACAGATAAAATAGAAGTAGTGCCATAAGAGTCAAGTGATACATAATTTGTAAGTTGCAAACAGGTGAATGTTATGGATGTTCTTAGTTCAGGTGTTTAACCTGAGATGAGTTCCTTCTTGAATAAGTGCAGTTACTAAATGCAGTTTAAGCTCTTCTCAGTATCTCAACACTAAACCTTGTCAGTAGGGGTGCTAAATGTTCCATTAAACTAAGATAAATTGTCTCAGAGGGATGCAGTACATGAGGTAAAAGTCAAATGCAGGCCTGAAATCATCAGAAACCCAGACATCTTGTTTTGCTTTTTGCACAAACACTGAGCAAACATTGTCAGAAGGAAACTCTATTTTGCCTGGAAGCCTTTCACACCTTGTATTTAATGCTCTGTCTGTATATCTGCTCTATTGTTAGCAGCTACAAACCCTGTGGCCCTCTCTCCGTCTTCCTCCTCCTCCTAGTCCTACCTGATAACACCTCTCTTACTCAATACGTCATAAATCACAACCCCTGACAGCTTAATTACAGTAAACACACGGAGATTCGGGCTTCTCACTCCTCTTGCGATCAACAGCCGTTGTCCCAGAGGCACAAGTAACAGCTCTGGCTTTTATGTCGTTTGTAGACAGGGCTGCAGAGGAAACTGATCCAACCGCAGGTATGCTGCAAGGAAATGATGCGTCAACATTAAATTACAGTGCCATCCCATGTGAGTGACTGTCAGTGATTGGATTCAGATGGCCTATTCGCTAAACTGCTGTTGTTTTCATTATTATACCAAAAAAGAGTTGAAAAAATAAGAGTGAGACATCCCAACCTCTCAAGTTTTAACAAGGAACAATGGCCTGACGATGACTTGAAAACAACAACGCACTCAAATACCTATGAATAATTGCATACTAATCTAACAGCCAGTTTTACTTGCTACCAACCTCCAAGCTGCCTCGTAAATTCCTTCCTCCCCACACTGCAATAATATGAATATCCGGTTATCAGCAGTCACACGCTCACCAGGAATCAATCTTAAATATGACTTTTCCAAAAATATCAAAACAAGCTGAACCGCGCTTCTTAAAGTTTTAAAAATAAAGCGGCGTACAAGAAGGTGGCTTTAGTAATGCTTTGGTATTTAGGGATATATACCCTAATTTAGAGTCTTTTCAAGAGTTAGATCAGGACTATGACACTCCCTAATATGAAGCTTGATTAAGGACATGATTAGCTTAGCTTAGCATAAAGACCATAACTCCACCTACCAGTAACTCAAGTGGGTTGAAGGGGGATTTAGCCGTTGGTCAAACCCAAACAACCAATCCAAATAGTAAAAGTTATTTATGAACCCTCTGTCGTTTGTTCATCTCACGAAAAAAATACGCTGCCATTTTACTAAATGCATCAATCGACACTTAACTGGCTCCCCTTCAGAACCACGATTAATCTCAGAAAGACACAGAACGTTTTATGCTTCAAGTCTTTTTCTGTCGAGTACCTCTAATACTCACTTGCAAACATATTAGGTATCTTGTTTTGTTTCTAAAAAAACGAAACAAAGAGTAAACGTTATAACTGGTTCATGTCCTTGGTGTGATGTTGATAGGCTACTAGAGACACCAGGAAGTCACTGCTTCGCGCTAAGAAATAGCAGTTTTCAGTCTACTAACTATTGAACTGAGACATGAGAGTTGCATCTTCTTGTTTAAACGTAGTAATAAAGCACCTAAGTGTATTTCTCCAAAAACTATTCTAGCACAATTTGAGTCACTATTTGTAAAATGGCCTTCTGAGTTAATGAGCACAAAATCAACACCCGACACTCAGTCGCCCCCTCCTCCACTTTTACTTATCATAACCCTTGATCCCTGCAATCAGTAGTCGCCGAAACTGGAGCCTGAGGCATTCAGGAGCAACTCATTTCAGGAGGTTAGTGGTTAAATTGTCCATGAGAATTTGTGAAGCGCAGAGACAGAAGAGACCCCTGACCAGCCTGCCTAATTAAGGACGCTCAGTGCAGTCTGACCGACTCACAAGGACACAGTCATTCCATCACAATGCATGCTTGCAAAAATAGTTCACGTTTTCCATGCTTACAGAAAAGATCCATCAATCAAAGTATGTGAAATGACCAACGTTATACATATTTTGAATGGGTGAAAGATGATGGCTATGTGCGTCGGTATTGACCATTAGGTATCACTCATACAACTAAACCAGCAGGAAACCGACAACTGTACAAACTTGTTTTGGCGTGGTATGAAAGAAATGGCAATAACCGTCAACAGGGTTTTTGTGAGGGTCTATCCGTTAAGCTGTGTGTAGATGGGTACAGCTACATTCCTGCGCCAGAGTCCTGCTCCTGTGTGAGTGTGTGACAGGTGGGGCTCACCCTGATAACAGGTGGATTAGCCGGCCCTTATTGTCCTCCTGCAGCAGGCCTGAAAGGAGCTGTGAGTCACGGTCGGACCAAACCGTCTGTTTTCATTGTCCAAAGACAAGTGTCTGAAAGGCTTTCCAGTGGCTATCATAGCTCACTGTCAATCACAAACAACATTAAGGGACAGTGATGGAGATGGCGGAGCACTATACAACCACATTTATTTATTTTTAAAAGTTGTAAAGTGGTGTCGGAAAGAGTTGTAAACCCAGAAAGAAGTTCGTATTTTAGCACTTCCAGGCTCCTTTTATCGAAATCAATAGTTTTTGGTAAATCAAATCAAATCAAGTTTTATTTATAAAGCACATTTAAAAGCGATTTTTGGTCAAGCCAAAGTGCTGTACATGTAATAAAAACACATTACTACAATCACAATAAAAGACAATAAATTACAACAGATATATATAAAAAAAAAAACACAAGGAAAAGTCAGGAGTCGTGCTCCGCTCTGACTAGAAGGCCAGAGAGAAGAAATGTGTTTTTAGTGTAGATTGAAAAACCCCTAGGGTCTGGGCCGACCTCACATGGAGGGGCAGAGTGTTCCAGAGCCTAGGGCCAGCTCCTGCGAAGGCTCGGTGCCCTCGGGTTTTGAGCCTGGTCTTGGGCACTACCAGCAGCAGCTGGTCAGCAGACCTTAAAGCTCTGGCTGGGGTGTAGCACTGGAGGAGTTCAGCTATATAGGTAAGATGCATGAAATAAGGCCTGGGGTTAATACAATGTTACAAGATGTTATGTTGTGTTCTACGACATAAAATGCATCAGTGAATACCCCACTGGTGAACGCCTAAAGCTTTAAAGTGTCTTAAAAAAGGCAGCTATAAAATAACTAAATAAGCGAACTAAACATCCTCATGCTAAACATTAGCCGCTTAGATTAGCGGTGGTGACATGAAGTCATGTGACCGTGATTCAGTTTGTTTACAGCATTACGTTAGATATTTATGATTTGCCTCAACTATTATAAAAGTGGGGTTAATATATGGACATTATCTTGCTAAAAAAAACATGCAAGTACCATAAATGTGTGTTTGCCACAATATTCGAAAATCCAATGGAAAAATCCCATTGCTTTTATTTCGAGGCCTTTCGATGCTGATTTCCGGGTCGGCCTACAATAACACATCATGACTGCACTACTCTGTAATGCCCACTTTCCCCTGCCACTACTTCCTCAGTTTCTTCTCTTTTCCAAGCGTCAGCATTTCCAGTGTCTGAATTGCCCACAACAGTCCCATTGTTGTGGGCGAGAGTCCTCCACAAACCCAAATACAAACACACAGCTCAGGAAGGGGGAGACAGATACTGTAAACAAACAAGACGGTGGCAGGATGTCACTCTAATCTATTTGTGAGGACCCTCAAATTGTTCCTCGCCAACAGAGAGAAGCAGTCGAGCAAACAATCAAACCTGTCACTTTAAAAGCTTGAAGGTTTGAAGTCTGTAGCGAATGCAAAGATACCTTTCTGGAGAAGTGGCAGTAAGTTAGTAGCTGGGGTATCTGTGATCCTCATGGTATAGATCCTTAAGGAATAGTTACCTGTTCTATTAAGATAAGAGCTACAATATTATGAAAAAGTAACTCATTGGGATTATTTTTGACCAATATTGCAATTGAGATATGATTTACAAAGAAAGACTGATCCTTCTTGATGTATAATTCACTATATCATTATACATAATTTATTTGCAAATTTACATATTTAAATTATCATTGCGTCATTTCGGTGGCACAAATACGTTTTGTTCAGTCAGTAGAATGTGATTTGTAGGCTTGGACATCCGTGCAGCTCCACAATACTTAATCAAAAATGGTATTTAAAACCACCAACTAGCATTGTGCTTCCTGTAATTTAAATAGTGTATACCATTTTTTGAATTACAATTATATTTGACTTAAAGGTGGGGTAGGTAAGTTTGAGAAACCGGCTCGAGATACACTTTTTGTCATATTCCATGGAATGCTCTTAACATCCCGATAGCAATGAATATCTTAAGTGCTTTGACAAAAAATCCATAAAAAAATGTCATCTGTGGAAGCCTTAGTACTGTAAAAAGCACGACCAATCATTTTAGCCGGCCCGGCTAAAATAACTGGATGGCCTACCTGCCTGTCAGCCTTCCATCTGTGCACAAACTTATCTCGTGCCCTCATTGGTCATGTGCGCGTTCGTGTGTGTTGGAGGAGGGGCTCTATAAGGAAGGGGCAGATTTTCTCCGGTTGTGTATTTTCAAATTCTAGCGATCTCGAGCCGGTTTCTCAAACTTACCTACCCCACCTTTAATTTTAGATCTCCAAACTTCTCTACTTGCAGAATTTTACTTCCATAAAATGAGCAATAGATAACCAATAGGTCAGTGAACTGTCTTATTAAAAATGTCCACAATAACATCTAATTAACTAACCAGGCCTAAAGCGTGCGTCTTGGACAGGGCAAAAATATATCAGACTGAGTGATTAATAAAGCTGGATATGGTGGGAAGAGGCATGAGAGGAGAATCCTGCTGGCCCAGTAACAGATAAGACAGCTCCGGAGTAATCTGACTCTAAGTCCGTGGATAAAGGCAGTTTGTCTCTTCTTGGGCCGTCTGTCCACACCTAGCGGGTAATTAGGCCTAATTATGAGAGAAAGGTCCGCTTCCCCTTCATGTTATTAAATAAGAGCCAGCCTCGTCCGCCAAGCGTCTCTCAACACCAGCAAGGGGCTGGCGACCTTCAGATCAAACGCAGCCACTATCTGTGCCCTCCCTGAACATTGCTGCACATATGAGGGTTTGAAGAGGGAGGGGACAGAGAGGGTATTCGTTATGATATGGGGCATCAAAGTTTTTTGACTGGAGGTGAAGGGGGAGTCCTGTCCGCATTCCTCCCTGGGCTCTTTTGCGCTGGTATCATGTGATCAGCAGCTACCCACCTGAGCTGCCCCCTTGTCAAACTCTGCCATTCATAAATAAGAGCAAGGAGGGATGGACATAGTGATCACAGGAGGTTTATTATAGAAGCATTATAATGCCGCAGCTTCACAGGAGCCATTATGGAGGCATGGGATCCCGAGATCCCCCGCTGATATCAGCCTCATCAAAAAGGAGATCTGAGCTGCGTGATGAAAACTGAAGGAGATTACACATAGCTCAGAAGCTGATTTGTAGATAGGCCTTCCAATGACAAGACAACTTTGTAACCAATAGTGATCTTTCCTGTAACATCTTAGCCAACAAGCTTCAAATAAAGACCCTAAATCCGTTCATAGCTGCTACATCATACTTCAGCTATTCGTCATTCTGCTGCTCAAACACAAGCAATGGTCTTATCAGCCGTTTCCCTTTTTTTCACCGTCTCGCCAAGGAGGCACTTCCACCTCACCGGCTGGGGGGTGAGCTGGCTTTAGGATCATTAGTCAGCCTTTCTGCCCTCACCCTCCCCCAACAAATACAGATCCTTCTGAGGAGGAAACCAACGTGCCAAATGGAGAGCGAGGTCCATTATTAAAAGTCCAGTTAGACAAACAACATGGGAAGTGGCGAGGAAGACACACGCCCTTTATTGTGTCTTGGTGGGGTTATCTGGCCTGGATAAACATCCCAGCGTCAGACAGAGGCTGAAGTCAGACACAAGTGCACCAACACCCACTGTCAGTCACAGGTCCAATGAGTGGGAAGAGGTGGCATTGTTCACGTGAATGGCGTGAATGCTAAGCAGGGGCCATAGTAGATAAGAGCTCAATGCCTTGTGGGTGTCACTGAGGCAGGCCCTGATGGAGCACTGTGTCCGAGGGTCCTGTTTTAGGAGGTCCTGACGGTGGTCAACAGGTACCAGGAGCCTTATCTGTTTGCATTATCACCCATTTCCTCCATAGAGGATACAGAGACACAAGAGGGTCGACAGCTTGAGTGTCATCACACATCTCCACACGTTAGGGGTGTGAAGGGTTTCGGATCTATAGGGGTTCGGCTGTCCATACAGCAAAGATATGAAAACAAGTAGACGCATTATGGAACAGGGAACAAAGGACACACAAAACAACAACATGTTACACTTTGTCAACATGCACGGGTCCCTGTGTTACACCTGTCAGTCATCTGCAAGGGTGTGATGAGTGACTGCATGAACACTAAGTAATAGACGGTGAAAAGATTGACAGAGGGTTAACTAGTCGTAGTTATACAGGGCGAACAGCAGGGTTACAATAAGATCATTCTTGGTCTCGAATTATGATGTCTGCTTTCCTATGTAATAAAACACACTATTGGACCTATAATATTCACTCTGGGCATCAGTATTGCTGCAGGGCTGAGTATCATGAATTTAAAATTAAGAATCCATCAGGGGTAAGAAACAAAACTAATAATATTAAAAAAGTATATTAACGTTTTTGATGATATCATGCATGATGTGTCTCTTATACGGCACTTTAAATGGAAACACATGCATCAAATAAATAAACTACTGCAATCCCTCCCCACCCCTACTTTAATGTGTTGGTGCATAGGCATTTTCCTTTAACAGTTCGTTTTCCTTATTTTCTGTGTCTTGGATGTATAATACCATTTAAATGAAGAGAAAAAGTTTAACATTTGTACATCCTCATGGAGGATAGCGTGAGCTGGATATAGGAGCTACACGATCGAACTAAAAAGCACTCATATAGTGTAAAGTACAATCACAGGATGTGTGCCAGCCTTCTTCATTAACAGTGACTCAATGTCAGTGCATAGCTAAAACAAATGTATTTGCTTAACCATAATGCTTAATAATTGAGTAAGCTAATCTATGACCACCAAACTTTAAAATAGCAGGTAGTTTATGTTGCTTCAGTAACTGGCATATGCATACCACTGACTTTAGTAAGGCTATTACACTTGATATGACTGATCCACAAGCTTAACCTGTAGGATAATGCACTGCAGAATACAAACCAATGAAGCTTATTCTGCTTGAAGATCAGGGGTTTAACTAGCGAGTTAAAGTAATAGATACAATAGACGCATTTAACATAACAATCTTATTGTATTGGTATTGTTTGGAGCTATTGCTTTGCTCATATTGTGTACAGGCTACAGTCATCTTGTTTACTGGACGTTATCAGGGCTGCGATACTCACACAAGTTGCTATGATTTACCATCCTGAAGATATAGCATACATTAAAATGTTAGGGTGGAAACAGAAAAGATACGACTGCAATTCATATCTATAAAAGGCACTTAAGGCTAGCTTAAACTCTCATGTTGTTTACATCAAGGAGGTTAGCAACAAGCTAGCAACTGCCTAAAACAACAGGCTAAAACCAACACGTGTACCTTGGTATTACTTGAGAGACATTGTCGCTGCGTGAAGTCGTTTCATTACAGTGAAGAGAGAAGCTTTAACAACACAGAAACACAAACCATCTCAGTGACACACCGGTGTTCTGAAAGTTGTCAGCCAGCTTTGCGAGGAGGAAATACAAAACATGCGCCACAGCTGAAGGACCCCTTTTTGGAGCGTGTGAGCTGCCCACGAGAGTGCCTGTATAGAAAACTCAAGACGTTATATCCCTCCCTCTCTCTCTCTCTCTCATCTCCTCTGCTCTCTCTTCTCTCTCTCTCTCTCCGCTTCTTCTCATCTCATCGTCTCTCTCTCTCTCTGCTCTCTCTCTAACGCTCCTCTCTCCTCTCATCCTCTCTCTCTCTCTCTCTCTCTTTCTCTCTTTCTCTCTCCCTCTGTCTGCTCAGTGGAATGACTGCCTCTGTCTGTGTGTGTGTGTGTGCGTGTGCGTGTGCGTGTGCGTGTGCGTGTGCGTGTGCGTGTGCGTGTGCGTGTGTGTGTGTCTCAGGGGTTGTTTCATTTCTAGGCATATCTTTTTCGGGGCAGCTATCATGTAATGCAATGTCTTTAAATGATATAGGCCAGGGGTATTCAACAAAAATGAGGTCCAGTTAGAGAAAATCTCCCCATGCAAAGGTCCGGAACACCAAAATGTTTAACTTGCTTTATGAATTAGTGTGATATATATTGAAGTAGCCTGTAGCTGTATCAACATCTGCATGTAATCAACAACTGACTGCCAATCAAATAATGAAAGTACAATTCAAAAACAACAATATTTATTGTCAATGAACATTGAACTATACAGATATACAATAAAATACTGTGGATATGTTTAATGTTCCTCTCGGGCTGCATTTAAAAATAAAATAGAGAAAATAAATAAAATAGCTTTTGAAAATGTGTGCATCTTAAAAGTGCTTAATTTTAGATAAATAAAATAAAGTGTAGCAGCAGCTTGAGTTTCCCTTTTTCTTTGTTAACCGTTTCACATCATGACATAACAGTTTCAGCCGATTATAGAACAATATCAGTCTTTACACATCATAACAATTGAACAGTTTTCAAATGTATCTTTCTTTCCCTCTTATATTGCAGTCCCTCACTCACTTTTTTTTTGTTCTGTGCGAGAATTGAGCTCGAGCTTATCCTGCCAGGATTTTGAATCTGGGCTGAAATGGTGTCAGGGCCATTCTCATACACACATGCATGTGCTCATTGGTTAGCCTGGAACCAGGGCCGTCCCTCCCTACAGGCCGATCATGCAGACTGCGTGGGGCCTCACCTTGCAGAGGGGGCCTCATCTTGCGGAGCGTGCCTCAACTGAGCCAAAAATGTTTTATTATGTTGATCCTGGTGGACTGATCATATTGGGCTCTGAGACTGCTTATTTTTTGTGACCTCAGTTCTGACTTGAGTGAGAGAGCTACATAAAGTGCAAGAGGAGATACCCCTGTATTAAAGTGCATCTAGCGGTGATTGCACGTCTGTTTGTTTCTCAACCATTCTTTGAGTTGACCTTTGAAGTTATTGAGAGTGGGACAATCCCGTATCTCAGTTGGGAGGCTATTCCACAATGAGCTGCCTTTAATGGAAAGGACATTTTGTCCAAAAGTGGTCCGTCTACGGTGGACTTCACAGTCTCCTCTGGTTTCTGACCTAGTGCAGCGTCCAGTGTGTTTTTTGTGGATGAATTCCCCTAAGGGAGGGGGGGGGGCAGTCCATGTAAACATTTATAAAAAAAACACATACTTTTAAAAGACTTAAAATTGTCAAAACTCAAGAAATTGTGTTTCTCAAGGATGGTGCAGTGGTGGTATGAATTTGGCTTTCTGTCAAACACCTTGATAGCTCTCTTGGTTTCAGGTTTGTGGCACAAGCAAACGACCAGTTTGTAAAACAGTATTCAATGTGGGATAGAATCATATAGTGGAGGTATGACTTTGCAGCATTGACAGTGAAGAAAGGTCTAATTTGTTTAAAATTGTGAAAGTTGAATTTAATGGTATTGGATACTTTCTTAATATGTTTCTTAAAAGTCAAGTTTGAGTCCAGTATGACTCAAAGATACTTGAAGTGGGAGACTAGTTCTATTTCTGCTCCGTTTAAAAACACGTCCGGGTCCGTATAGGTCGGCGTCTGGGTCCGGATCCGGACTGTGGTCCGCCTGTTACTGAACTATAATCAGTAACATAACCTACATTATAGGCTATGAAAACATTTTAAAGATAAATAAAAAACAAAGCAATTTGAATAGTTGTAAACAAAAGAATATTTAGAATACTCATTTTCAAAAACAACTTAAACATTTAGATTACTCATTTTCAAAAACAACTTAAACGTGTGTATGTTTACTAGTTTAAAAAGAAACTGAATATCACTCCGATTAACTATTGACATTTTCTGTTTGCACAATTGTGCTATTTCTCTTCATGTCAAGGGTACACCATTAATGATAATAATTATAATACATTTTAATTTGAGGCGCCTTTCAATGCACCCAAGGTTACCTTGTGAATAAAATAAAAACTTTAACAGTAAATACAGCTGAACATAACAAACAAACAGGGCAGACAGACAGATAGACATTAAAAAGCAGGTATGTAGGGACATGACAGTGGTATTGCTAATCTGAACAGGTGAGTTTTTTTAGGTGGGATTTGAATGAGGTGATTGTGTCTTTCATTAGTAGTTAATTATGGGAGGATCCTGCAATTAAGATTCACGCTGGGAGATATTCACTTAAAGTGGACCTATCATGCTATATTTGAATAATATATTGTAGGGCCATACCTATATAAAACATGTCTGTGAAGTTTCTTTTTCAAAATACCAAACAGATCATGCATTTCAGCCATGCCTCATTTCGCTCTATTTGCTCTTTTCCAGCCCTGTTTTTGCAAGGGCTGATTCTGCTTTTGTGGCAGACTACAGCGCCACTTACAGGCCTGGCATATGTACTACAGCGTCTCCAGCGCTTTCGAGCAGCAATGGCCGTTCCAACCTCTCATTCCCCTGATAGGTGGAGAGTTGCCCATATAGGCGGAGCTCCCTGTTTCTGACGTCAGAACAATTTCAAATCTGTATCAGCTCCGTTGCAGCCCCGTTTTTAGAGATTTGGGTATGGAGGAAAAGAGAGAGGGTTGTGTTTTCTGACACTTGGTGAGTTCCCTGACACACCGGGGACACATATTCATGTATAAAAGACGTACAAAAGTGCATTTTGCATGATAGGTCCCCTTTAAGATTTCTATTTCCTTTTAAAAAGAAAACTTGAGTTACAGAATTGAAGTGTTTGATCATTTAGACTTAAAACAAATTGAGGACAATTGAAGATACTCTTTTAAATTCCTTCTGCTCCTAAAACGGACCTCTAAACTCTGGGGGGGGAAAAACACATACAAACTGAGCGATAACTATAGAACTTGGAAAGCCTTACAAAACTGCATGAACAGGGGAGTCTTTATTTTGTCATCCTTTTCAGTCTAATGGAGAAAGAGAGACAGAGAAAACACAGGGCCTTAATCCACAGAGCACACAGAGCCCTTTCATGGGAGTGCTGGGAGAGACCTTTATTTGTCCATTCCTATCATGGAGAAAGCTGGTTTCAAGCTCGGATAGGTCTGAGCTGGAAGATTAGATGAAACCAGAGTGTTTTAAACCTCTTCTGTGGATTAGAGTCTGACAGTCCCCCTGCACTCTGAAATGAAACAATAAGGAGTACAGGTGGCTCAATGGGAGAAACCTAAATAATCTCCAAGCTACAAAAAAGCCCTCCAAAATCAAGGATAGCTTTCATTTGACTTTAAAAAGAAAGGATGGAAAGATTCCTCACCTACACCTGAATTTGTAAATGTTAATATTTTTGGCCTGAGCATATTTGATGTACACACATTTTACCGAATGTGAACTAGTTTAAAATGACATTCTCACCTCCTAGAAAGAACACATTACAATTCTACTTTTATGAGAAATTCAATATCTGGGATTTAGAGTGCAGAATGATTATCTAATTAACTAATGAGCCAGATGAAATACATAAGCACTTAATGACATACATGGAGCAGGTGAGTCTCGATTGTAGAGCAGCCGTGAGTTGAAACCAATTAGAGCAAATGGAGGTGGCAGGACGGTAACCCCTCAGCAGGAGGTGGGAGAAGGTGTCTGCTGCCCTGCCTGCACAGATACCATGGCCTGCATCGCCATCAATTATTCCTGGCATCTCATTTTACCCAGGGGCACGCAGGGTGTCCAGGACAATGCCAGGGTGCACTTAAAAGATAGAGCCTCTGTCTCGCCGTGGGTCCGAGGACGGAGGAGAGGGTGGGGTGTGTAGATACAGAACCATCCATCCAACCTATAAGAGAGACTGCGAGGTAAGGAAATCCCTGGAATCCCACTCTCGCTCCAGCCTCTCGTCGGGGGGGGGGCAGCAGGTCACTTTACAGCTCATCACCAAATTAGAAAGGCTGCAGGTCAGCGTGAGCGGCAGCCAGACCACAGACAGATAGAAATAGATGGAAGTGCTATGCTGGTGCTCATTCACCAGACTCCTCTCTCATCATGGAGAGGTACAGGACTGCACAGTATGGAAGGAAAACTCCAGGGAGGAACACTAGACCAAGGCTTGACTACTGTAATGCACTTCAGAATCAGATCAGAATACCTTTATTTGTCCGACAGAGGGGACATTTACATTTGTTACAGCAGAAAAGAGCCAAAGACAGCTGAATGTTAACTTACACAATTTACAAAATACACATCCTGTAACAGTTCTGAAGATGTAGCAGCCAGGTATATATTGCACAGTTATTAACGGAATATATATATATATATTTCACATATTGGGCTGGGGTGTTATAGTCTGTGTTGTTGTGTGTCTACTAGGGGGGCCGTGGTGGTTATATCGGGATTCGTAGCAAGAACATCCAGAAGCTGCAATATATCCAGAACAACGCTGCTAGGATCCTTATGACAGTGTGAAAGTATGAACACATCACAAACCATCCTCACATCATTGCACTGGCTCCCGGTCTCACTCAGGATTGACTATAACTCTCACATTTCACCCATCAGTGCATTCATGGAAATTGTGGAGTCTTTTTTTATATAACATTAGAAAGACTGATTCTTATTATTACATTATAAGCTTATTGTAACGTTTTTTATCGTTCTTCTTCGTCTTCCACTGGAGTATAGCAAGGTTAAGTGCAGACACTGGAAGAATACAAAGAGTTA